GGTTGCAGAGGCGGCACTGGCCGCCGCTCAGGCTGCGGCGGAGGTTGTTAGGCTTACAAGTGGTAAGAGGTCTGCTTCGGCTTATGCGAGTAGCAACACCGAACGCCGCCGTGAATGGGCTGCCGTTAAAATTCAGTCAGAATTTCGAGCTTACCTGGTTAGTGTTTTTTTTTTTTATTCGTTTCAATTTGTTTGTTTGCTTTTAATTCAAAACTTTTTAGAACGAGGATTAAAATTAAAACAAATAAATTGTAATATGATTTTAGTAAAATTAGTTGTTATCAAGATTTGTGGTTGGGGAGGGAGAATTGAAGGAGACAACTGACAAGTTGCACAGTAACTTCGCAATCGTAACGAAATGATACCATGGGTTTCAAAACTATCCACTCCTTCGTGTCTGTTAAGTCACTGTCACTCTTTTTTGAATCTTCCATTAATTAATTTTTTGACCTTGTGTCCTCTTCACTTCTCCTGTACCATCAATAATTTGTTCTTTTTTTCATTTTTTTTTAGCTAAACCTCTTGGGGTTTCAAAAAGTGTGTATAAAAGATTGCTTTTTTTTTGTTTTGTTTTTTGGCAGTATCAGCAAAGAAACACTGTTCATTCCAAGGTTTTAAAAAGAAGTATAAACTTTTTTTTTTGACAAACCTCATTTTCCTACCTACCTGGATCCAAATCAATAATTAAAACAAGGAGGGCGGGCATAGCATACTAGAGAGTTGGTTCATCTAAAGTCTTGCTGAACTTAAGTAATGGACTAGGTGAAGTGACTTGTCTTTCTCTACTATAATGGAGTAAGATTTTTTTTCTTCTTATGTTAAGTGTTGTCAAGATTGAGGAAAAGGACTTCCCAACCACCCTGTTTCACTCCAGTTAACTTAACAAAATAATAGCTCATTGGTGTCCATACTAATATTATAATCATCATTAATGGTGATGAATATAGTGACAAGTCTTTAATCTTGTTTCCTGGAGAAATTTCTTGAGACAAGTTGACAATTTTAGATTAATTGGGGTGCAGTGTGCCGCAGCACTTTGTGATTTTAGGTGCAGGTTTAATATAAGTAAATGTTTTTTCAACAAATTTCAGTTGTATATGTAGAGTCGGATAGGAGGAAAATGAGTCTACCTTCAGCTGCTGCCGACAGTATAGATCTGCAACAGGTGCTAATTGAACACTTAAAAGGTTCAAAAATAAGCTGCCTATGGACTTCACTGGATGATACCTACTAGATAAAATTAATATAACTCATGCAGCATGCATGATTCAAGAAGAGGATCAAGCACATTGCTGCTGTTTTTTCTGTTTGCTCCTCATAATTTATTGCCATAGTGCTTTGTATTCAACTATAAAGAATTATTGCTTAACCCACCCTGATGTATGGGATCAAATAAAACTGCAATATCTTTTTGGGTAATACAGAATTTTAATTCATGAGCTAGGCACTGGATGCTACTGGTTAATTGCGATGGCTAAGATTAATTGACATTTTTGTTCTGTGGGGGGCATGTTGTAGGCTAGAAGGGCACTGAGGGCACTTAAGGGACTAGTGAAGCTGCAAGCACTAGTCAGAGGTCGTATAGTGAGGAAACAAAGTGCAGATATGCTCCGACGTATGCAAGCCATGGCTCGAATCCAGGCCCGAGCTTCTGCCAACCGGAATGTAACTTCAGATCCTTCTCATTCCAGCATCAGAGCTTCACGATTTGAGCATCCTGTAAGTATTATATTTTAGAGATGAGCCATGGACAGCCTTGTCTAAACATACTGTAGTCTTGACCTCATGATCTCAGTAAAAGCTAGGGTCTTTTGAATGTTCTTTTGTCGACAAACTATTGTTAATCTTCTTCAACTGGTAAGATCTTGAAGTGTAAATGACTCATGCAGGAATGTTCTTAGACTAAAATGTTGCCTCAATATACTTGGTCAGAGCGACTGTTTACACTGATCAATTTTGAACTTGTACATTGATTGGATTGTATGGTAACCATTTTCTATTTCACCAAAAATCTTGCAGGGCATTGCAACTCCGAGAAAGTATGATCCACAGCAGTATTCATTCAATTGTAAATATCATGGGCCAAACCTGAAGGTAGCACTCACCAGTAATTCTGAATTATATTTTATTTTCTCTTCGCAAACTTCACATGGAAGCATATTCATTCTCAGAGATGTCGGCAGTTCCTAGAAGTAAAAGGGACCTTATTTATCCAGTAAAACTCATTTCAGTTAGATGTCTGCCAATTACAATCATGCATGCATTAATGCATCTGTTTTTTTTCCATATTAAATGCAGAAATCTGGTTCCAAATTGAAACCACATGAGAGCTTGGGTCAGGATAGGTCACATTTGGCTTCACAATATATACATCACTGGATGGAGGAATGTGCAAAAAATGGCTACGGAGATACTTCCCTGAAAAAAAATGGTGGAGATCATGATGAGAGCACTGACAAGATACTTGAGATAGACACATGGAAACCACGTTTACACCCCAAACCAAGTGAGAAAAAATCTCACAATTCACATTATTCATCTTGGAACGACAATGCACACGGAACAAGAACTGTCAACTCTATGTCGAAACATTTGGCAAACCATATGAAACCAAATCCTAGTATATCTTCAGGGGAAGTGTCATCTTTGAGGTCACTGGCATTTTGTCAAGATACTGATCAGCCAGTTGCTTGGACTGTTGAGCACAGTCCTGGAGTACACTCCACATTGTCCAGACCAGGGAGTAGTAGTAGAAGAGGCCCCTCTCCTTCGAGAAGTGAGTGCTCACGAAGCTTGTTTGGGGACTACCTAGGTCACCCCAACTATATGTCTAATACGGAATCATACCTTGCGAAACTTAGGTCGCATAGCGCACCCAGGCAAAGAGTGCAGTTTGAGAAAATTGGTTCGACAAAGTATGTTGATGGACTTGTGGATGCAGATACAAATTCAGAGAAGAGTTGGAGATCACTTGGTAACTTTAGGAACAAAGCAAAACCAGGATCAGGTCTATCAGACCGAGTAGGGACACCTGATCATCGCAGTGCTGTCCGTTCCAGCTCTCCCTTTGGCCCGAGACAATAGAGTGATGCTTCCTTTGACATGCAAAGCAATTTAGTCTTGCTGTACAAATTCTAGTAGTAAAAATCAACCTTGGTCTCAATATGACCTAAGGTAAGTACTTGCCAAGTTGATGACAAGACTTATGTTTGTAGAGTGAAAATAACAGGTTGCTTGGATTGTCTTCTGTTGAGTTACTAAATTTTGCTTGTAACAATGTTGAGTTATTAATTATTGCCTGTGACAATGTTTGATAAAATGTAGTACTACCATTCTTAAATGACTTGTAATATGCCTGATGTACACTATTAATGTGCCATTAAGAACTCTTTCTTTTTTTTTTGATACAAGTAAAGTGAGAAAATTTCATTAAAGGATGCCCATAATTACAGCATCTAAGCAAAAAAGGTAGTTCATGTACAATGAACCTGTGATTACTACTAGACATCTAGATTTAAGTGCTTTTAAAAGGAGAAATGACCCCCTCAAAGCAGTGGGACAGGAATAACTATGAAGGGACCAAAAGAATTGGGAGATTGGTGAGTCACTTTTGCCAAAAGAATAACAATACATATTACTTATTAGCTGATATCCATTTTTGTGATTTGTTGGTCTTATGTTTAATTATTAACTCTTACCAAATACTCAGACAATAAGCTATAGGTTTGTCTTTACAATTGGCGGTTTTTCCTCCCATCAGTCACTTCCCCTCACATGAACTATGCATTCACGAAGGGAATACCTTTTATGTTAGGCTAAAAATCTTTACTTTAAGCTGCCTTTTCGATGACATTAGACCCCAAATAGTTGCTCAATCATTCGTAAAATTGAAGATCCAAAACTGAAATGACAAAAGAAAAGTAGTAATCAATATATTCCCAGAAAGTTTTCATCCCACATACTTTGATTTGGGTCCCATGGATGAAGAAAATGCCCAAAATAATATTCTTTCCATGCTTTTGAACCAAACAGCCCCACAACATGAAGCTGATGCCAATGTTACTTATTACATGAAGATATACAGCTGCACTTTTTACTTTTCTCTTATGCTAATTGTTGAATTACCCAAGTTGGTGATATGCTGACTAAGAAAATTCAAAGCAAGAAGTAGGCAAAAGGTTGAACTAGTTGTTGAATTGGTGGTACCTTGAGACAATTTTGTAGTCCAAAGTAGTAATAGTTTTGTCATTTTTCCTCCTTTTGTTTTTTAGTTTCAAGTAGGATTTTCCTGCTGTAATTATTGACATCCTTTAATGGAATTGTGAGTCAATGGGGAGCAATCTTAAGTATTATTCACATCATACTAGTCATCAGAGGAAGTAAAGACCAACTCTTTGTTTAGTTTCCCTTTGGACAACCATATTAAAAAACAAAATACAAACTGTTCTTGTAAGGTTGCTCGTCTTGATTCGAGTGACCATAAGCTCTCCTTCTTCAGCATCATTTTCCAGACACCAATTTGTCATGAGACGCTGCAAAAAGAAAAGAAAAGGATTGATAGGACGTTGTACTGAAAGTCTGAAACTATATACCACCAAAGGTTGTGGTGAATGGCTGGATTCTCTCATCCCTAAATGAGATGTCTCGTGTAAAAAGTTCTTTGTAGAATACACTTTAACCCCCTTATTGGTCCTAAAAAGAAAAAAAAAGGAACTGCAAAGTATTTGGCGGTAAGAAACTGATGGTAGTCTTACTATTCACAATCAGTGTTAGGGTCAATGGTAAAACCAAGAGAAACACCACAGAAACCAGGCAGAGTGGCAATGGCAGTAGCATTTGGATTGCAAGTAGTAATAAGATCCATCATGCATCTACAGACAGACTGGCGAGTCTGAATGCCAGTGGAGCTAGCTACGGTGCTTAGAGTCGTCATAGCAATGCAGCATGGTGCACCTGGAATTGTATCTGGTGTGCCATAGTTCACGAAGCTGGCGCATGCTGATACCAGTGATGTCACTCGTCATCAGCTGCAGCTTTGCGAATTATTAAGGCAACCCTGAAAACCATCACCATCCAAAATACAGATTCATCTTCAGAATAGTTGCAAGTTGCAACTGATATAATAGAATCTCTTCTACTTGTATTCAAAATAAACATGAGGGTGATTGTGTGTCCATTTCATCTAGGTTGCATGACAGAGTTGTCAGGTCCATCCAACACTGGACTCTTAAATATGTAAATAGATATTAAGTTTAGTACCTTACTAGTATTTCTTTTGTCTTTGTTCTGCTAATTCTTTCATCTTCTTTTTGTTATGTTTGTTGCTGAGATGAAAGAAAGGAAATTAGCAGAACAAAGACAAAAGAAATACTAGTAATGAAACTAGATATTTAGTGGTAAAAACTAGAAAGAAGAAAACATGCTAAAAGAAACAAATGATTTAACTACTGCTCTACAGGCTTTGTGCTAGCATCTCTAGTTACTGTCCATTTAGAGGTTTGAACACAGCTGAGGTAGTGACACCAATGGCCATGATCATATCCATTAACCCCTCGGAGCAGCAACACCAGTCCGGCTATAATTAATGCAATGATTCCATCCTATAGTTTCTAATAGAAACACTGTCTGAACCTTTCTTTCGATTGAGGATGTAAAATTGGACACTACAACAATTGTTTTGGAATCCATTACCACCTTGTTAGTGTAAATTGACAAAAAGGATGCTACCCAGATATGCACAGCCAAGAAGATTTGAGGGAATCTTGAACCAAGCCTTTAGCTTATGCTCAGGGATTGATTATTAAATATAGGGAAAAGGGTCTGATATACCCCTCAACTTTGTCATTTAGAGCTGATATACCCCTCGTTATGAAAGTGGCTCATATATACCCCTACTTATATATAAATGGCTCACATATACCCTTTTCCTCTAACGAAAATGAAAAAAATTAATTTCAGCTTAGTTTTTTTATTATTTAAAAAAATAAATATAATCCCATATGAGTATATTTAATCCTCCTCAAACATTTTTTTTTTTTTAACATTTTTTTTTCAATGACTAATTTAGATTTATTATTTTGATGGTCAAAAATATTTATGTTT